ATTTTCTTTTAAAGGCGTTAAGTCAAGGCGGTATACTAAGTCCCCTCTTTTATATTTTATATACCCACAGAATCAACATTGAACTTGGTAACGAAGTTTGCAACCTTCAATTTGCTGATGACTTAGTGGTTTACTCTTCTGGTGACAATATACAAGATAATAATTATTCAATAAATGGTGCATTAAAAAATCTGAATACATATTTGGATAATCTAAATTTGGATATTAGTATTAATAAAATTAAGGTAATAGGTTTCAACACCTTCTCCACCAGAATGATCAAAATTTATTACAATGGTAATTTACTTCCAACAGAATCATCAACAAAATTTTTAGCAGTTACTTTTCAAAGCAATTTTAAATGGGTCAAATATATCGAAACTTTGACAAATAGAAATATAAAAGCTTGTAACATAATGAAATCATTAGCAGGCACATATTGGGGATCTGATCCCAAATTACTACTAATTTTATATAAAAGCTTAGTTAGGAGTCATTTTGAATATGGTTTTTTCTGTTTGCACATAAGCCTCAACTAGTTGAAAGACTAAATAAGATTCAAAACAGATGTCTGCGCATTATTATGGGAGCTATGATGTCAACCCCTATTATTTCAATGCAAGTTGAAGCAAACATCCTGCCCTTAAATTTACGGTTTAAATATCTACACTATAAATTTCTACTGAAACTTTCATCATTCATCAGGCATCCTCTACTTTTAAAATTAATGTAAGCTGCTAATAGAAACAGTTCTACATTTTTAACTCATGGCTTAAATGAAATCAAAGTTTTGGCATCCAATAACAACATCTATCAGAGCTTGAGCCTACCTCGCTACAGTGATTTATATCTAATAAATTTTCATCAATAAATGTAGTCATAGACCACAAATTAAAATATAAAGTGATGAAGAAGAAGACGACCTCGACGACGTCGACTGGTTTGTACGCCGGGTTTCATGGTGTCGCCGACTCGAGAGGTCCCGGGTTCGAATCCCGGTGGGGGCAGATGTTTGTGTGATGAATACGAGTATTTGTACTCCAGTCATGGATGTTTAATATGCATTTCTATATAAATATACTTATATATGTACAGTATATGTATTCTATCCGTTACCCTAGCATCCCATAACACAAGCCTTACAGTGCTTACTTTGGGGCTAAGCTAATTGGTGTGAGTGTTGGAAATATTTATATTATATTTATGTTTACACAAGTTTGCAGAATTTCATAGGGTATAGCCAAATCTACACTGATGGTGCAAAGAGCAATGAAAGAGTTTCTTTGGCCTTCTATGATTTAGGAGCAGAGAGAGGTTTAGGTTACATGTTATCAGAGAAAGCCAGTATTTATACAGCAGAGTCTTCAGCCATTTTGGAGGCTCTTCATTACATTGAACATCAAAATTATCCTAAATGGATAATAATCACTGACAGTATGAGTGTTTTAAAAGCTTTAGACAGTCCCAAATTCAATGCTTAAACTAATTATTTAATTTACCAAATCAGGGAAAAACATTATCAATTAACACACTCAAATATTGTAAGGGATATTGTCTTTTTCTGGACCCCCTCCCATATTGGTGTTTTTGGAAACGAAAAAGCAGATTTTATAGCCACTTCTATTACTTCTGTATTTAAGGCCATTCTAATACCTGAAACGGATATTTTACACTACATAAAGAATAATATAATAGATACCTTCAAAAGGCTTTGGTCCAGAATTACTGAGACGAAAGACAAATGGTATGTTGAAATCAATAATAAAATTGGTATTCCATGGTTCAGCAAAGGAAAGGATTATCATGGTCGAAAGATTTTTACAACCATCTGTCGCTTGCGTTTAGGACACTGTCGTTTTAATGCTCATCTTCACAGGTTCTTCTTCTTCTTCTTCTTCTTCACGGTGGGTGTTTTCCGCAACTCAACACCAGGTGCCTATTTTGCGTGTGAGGATGGCCTTAGTCGTGCCATCCCAGCTCCCCCAAGAAGCTCAGCAGTCTCTTGGTGTCGCCGCAGGCCTCGAGTAGCGTCTGCGGGCTGCCCAGGTGTGTCATCCGATGTCTGGTCACGCCTCTGCACTGCAGCAGGACGTGAGTGCTCGTCTCCTCTTCCTCCATGCAGGCCCGTGAGAATGCTCACTATTTGTTTTCAGAGCATGTCTTGGTAACTTGCAAAACTTACTTGCTAGCCGTAGGTCTACCTTAGGTATGGCCTCCCTGGCGTGCCAGCAGTCTGCAAGTCCAGCCCAATATTCGTTGTGTTGTCGCAGGTACCGTTCCCTAATTTAACTTCGCAGCAGCCGGTATGGGATCGGTACGATTGGTTCTGGGCCATATACCACAGTGTCCGACCCTCTCCTGGCCAGACAATCTGCTGCATCATTGCCCCTTGACCCACTATGTCCTTTTATCCATTGGAGTATGACCTCGTTTTCTCTGCCTACCTCCATGAGTTTGCAGTGGCATTCAAAAACTAAGCCGGACGTCATTACATTGTTGTCTAGCGCCTGGAGTACCGAGGCACTGTCAGAGAGTATCCGGATGTTCCTACCCCTGATTGCACGTTTTGTGATGGCCTCCGCTGCTCTGACAATGCCTATACACCCCGCCTGAAAGACCGTATTGAGGATGCCCAGGCTGTCTGATATATGAATGTTGATATCCTCTGAGAACACACCTGCACCAGTACCTGAGTTGGTTTTGGAGCCGTCTGTGTATACCCTCAGCTCCTTGTGTAGTCCTCGGTCAGGATTGTCTTCATATAGTTGTATTCTATATTTTTTGTCAAATACATGCTGTCTAGGGATGATGTCGTTTCTCGCCATGAAGAAGGGGTATTCTTCCTCAATGCCTTTTAGAATACGTGTATGTGGCGTATTGTAGTCTCTCCGCAAGCCTAGCATATGGAGCCTAGTAGACGCACATGCTGCTTCTTGCTGGATGTAGAAATGTAGTGGTCTTACGTTCAGAATCGTCTCTAGTGCTGCAGTAGGGGTGGTTTTCATGCAGCCCGGCAGACCCTCCCTTGGAAGCACTTAAGTTTGTCTATGGTTGTTACCTGTGTTGTCTTCGTCCACCATACAAGCGCTGCATAGCCTATGATGGGTCTTATTATTGTCGTGTATAACCATTTTGTTATAAAGGGGGATAAGCCCCACCTCTTACCCAGCATCCTCTTGCATTGGTACAAAATGATGCAGGCTTTCTTAATGGTTTTGTCAATATGTGTTCCCCAGTTGAGTTTGGCGTCTAGGTTTATGCCTAAATACTTTACCTCCTTGGAGAAACACAGCGTCTGGCCGAATAATACTGGCATGCGGTAGCTGCCCATGTTCCTTTTGTTGGTGAACAGAACTAGTTCTGTTTTACCCGGGTTTACCTTTAGTCCATAGTCCGAGCACCATATCTCTACCACTCTCAGTGCCCTTTGTGTCACATCGCAAACCGTGTCCGCAAACTTACCCGGGATTAGGATCGCCAGGTCATCTGCATATCCTATTGTGAGGTAGTGCAGATTGTTCAGTCTTGTTATGAGGTCGTTCACAACTGTATTCCAAAGTAGTGGTGAGAGTACCCCCCCTTGAGGGCAACCTCTCGTAGCCAGTGCTCGCAGTTGATTCTCTCCTTGTGGTTTTATTAACCTGTTAGATAGCATGTTACTTATCCACTGGACGATGGTCTCATCAGCTCCGTGTCTAAGTAGGGCTGTCGTAATGCTGCTAAAACTGGTTTTGTCAAATCCTCCCTCTATGTCTATGAATGTGCCTAGGCAAAGCTCCTTACGTCCTAGGCTGTCCTCGATCATGCTTACTACGACATGCAAAGCCGATTCTGTCGATTTACCTGGACTGTAGGCATGTTGATTTGGGTGAAGCGTAGCCTTAGTCAGTTGATTGTCTCTTAGTTCTCTGTCGCAAAGCCTCTCTAATAATTTTAGTAAGAAAGAAGAGAGGCTAATTGGTCTGTATGATTTTGGCTCACTATAGTCGCTCTTACCTGGTTTAGGGATGAAAGTTACTCTGACATCCCTCCACAGTTTGGGTGTGTACCTGTAGGCCAGGCATGCTCTTAGTAGAGCTACCAGGATCCGTATTAGGTCATCTCCCGCCCACTGAAGAAGTGCCGAGAAAATTCCATCCGGACCCGCGGCCTTGAAAGGTTGGAAACTATTTAGTGCCCATTTCACCTTGTCCTGTGATACTGTCTTGTTAGCTATGTCCCAGCAGTATAAGGTCGGTGTCCAAATGTTTCCCCCCCAGACATCTTCACAGGTTGAACTTAATCTTGTCTTCTGATTGTAATTATTGTCGTCTACCAATTAGCCAAACTCTTCATCATCTGTTTTTTGATTGTAGTGCCTTTTCGTTACAAAGAATGATTTTTATAGATCAATTCTTAGATATTTATAAAATATCTGCAAATATCCCGCGCTCTCTACCTCAGCTCTTATCAAACAAGAGTTGTTTTAAACCTATTTACCAGTTTATCAATACGACCGTTAATGATATTTAAATTTTGATTGTTTCATATTACAATCACATCTTCATACCTCTAACTTGACTAAAGACCTTGCTTTACGAACTCACAATTATGACTTGAAAATAATCCACGAATTGGATATTTTATCTCTTGGTATGACTTTAAATTAATACAACAAAATATTCTTTCTTGACATTTCTACCAATGACAATGACTTATCTTGACATATACACAATTACACAAACGACTTGGCTTCGGCCTTACTGAAAAAACACAAAAGAAGACAATATTAAAAAAAGAAAGACGCTAAGAAAGAAGTAGAAGTACTTTGAAGACAAGATACCTAAAATAAGACTTAGCTTCAGCTACAAGAAAGAAGAAATACAGCTTCTATAACGCATATATAATAAATACAGCATGTATTATTCTGAAATATAAAACTTAAGAACTGGCTGTATGGGCACAGTACCCTTTGCCTTCCCAGAATGGGAAAAGGAAAAAAATGTGTCATGTGTGCAGCGGTTTGCAAGCACGTGTGATTTTGTTTACATCACAGAGTACCTTTGGTTTACATCAATCATGTAAACAAAATTTCATCTATTTTATAAAAAAACTTATAAAATGTTTGTTTTAGCTGAAATGAAAGATGTATTAAGAGTAACACCAGATAACTTTCATCAAAGTTTGTCTGAGTCTATTACAACTTTGTTAAATAGGAAACTTGCTAATAAGGTAAATTTGATTAAAGTTGATTTATAACCTTTCACAAGTGTTCTTTTTCCATCTAACAACTACTAATTACATTATGTATTAATTTCAGGTAGTTCTAAATGTTGGCTTATGTATAGCTCTGTTCGATATTACTCACATTGGTTATTCTTACATATTCCCTGGAGATGGTTCATCACATACTGAAGTAAGATTTAGATACATCGTTTTCAGGCCCGTAGCTGAAGAAATTCTCATCGGGAAAATTCGGAGTTGCAGTCGCGATGGTGTTCATGGTACGTCATTTTTTAGTTACTATTGAGTATACAATTACATTACAAATTTTGGGTATCCAATTTTTGTTCAACAGGAATACTACCTATGTCCCATGCTTCTATCACGTGTTGTTTATTAGGTACTGTAATTATTCGTAGAAATATTAAGGACTAGATTATCTACGCCAGTTTTGCAAATGCATTATACATTTAAAAGCAATAAAATATAGGCTATGTCACTCAGAATTTATTATAGCTCTCTAATGAAGAAAGAATTTTTGAAAGAATGAAATTGGTCAAGTAGTTTTTGAGTTTATTGGTTACAAACATAATAAAATACAAAACATTCCTCTATTTAACATAAGTATAGACCAGGAATGATATTATAATGTGGAGTTCAGTTATGATGGTATAAATTTGTGCCATTTCACAGAACTTCACCTTGCCAACTTGAACTCAATCTCTTAACCTTCCGTGGTGGTTTATGCCACTGAGTAAGGTTTTCAGAGAGCAGTAGGTAATGCATGTTATAGTAGAGAATAAGTGTCTTTATGTAATGGTAGCTGCTTACTATCAAGCAGGCCATGCACTTGTTTACAATGCTTTATCACAAATATGATACCACTAAAAAAATGTGTGATAGTGAAGCGAAAAAAGCAAATAATAAAATGAGAGGTAGGTCAAAATTATTAATATCTCTATTCCAAAGAAAAGGGTAGAATTGCGAAAAGGACTTAGGTACTTTTCATAGATTACACTGACACCTAACACTTTTGGGGCTTATGAATGAACTAGTGGCCCGCCCTCGCTTCGCTTCGGTGTAGAGCTGAAGTGTAGACTACAGTTTTTGTTCTCAGGCTTGTATTATACACAATGACATCCATCTATGATTCTTCTTATACCTGCATGCAGTCTCAGCCCGATCGGTTTAAAATTGACAAACAAACTTTCATTCCCTATTTTATCCCCTTGGGGGTGGAATTGATCAAAATCCTTTCTTAGCGGATGCCTACGTCATAACATCTACCTGCATGCCAAATTTCAGCCCCGATCTGTCCAGTGCTTTGGTCTGTGCGTTGATAGATCACTATGTCAGTCAGTCACCTTCGAGTTTTATATTATATAGATAAACATATTTTTGTTTCAGTTACTTTAGGATTTTTCGATGACATTTTAATACCAGTGAATGCTCTTCAACATCCATCAAGGTTTGATGAAACAGACCAGGCATGGGTTTGGGAATATCCAAAAGAAGATGGGGAAAAACATGATTTATTTATGGATTCAGGTATAAATCTACTGTTATCTTGTGCAGATAATGCAATGTGTTTTTGGTTATAACTTTTAGACGGCACTAACTATGATAATGAAACTAATAGTAATTATATTAATTTTCTAGGAGAATCAATAAGATTTAGAGTAACTAGTGAAACATTTGAAGAAAGTTTGCCATCAGGCCCTCCAGGAACAGAATGCGCTGTCCAAACTGTAGCCCCATATAGACTGATTGGAGGTATTAATGAACCTGGCCTAGGTTTACTTACATGGTGGGAAGCACCAGAACAAGACGACGAAGATGACAATGAACAGGATAATGATGAATAAAGTAAACAAAATCAATATTCTTTTCTATTATTTTTAGTTCTAATGAAACTATATAAATAACAGACTGCAATAATTAGGGTACAACCCAAGAGAAATAGTAATGAAGTGGGGGACTAGTGCCGTATTTTTCGTAGTGGGTGATAACGCTTCTTGTTAGGCCCATGACCCTTTCTTTTTTTTTACGCATGCAAAACCTCTACTGACAGACGTTGGGCGCCCTTATGGGGCACACCAACGAATGGACCTTACACCTAGCCTCTCGCAAGTCTCACGGGTGCGCAACGGAGAAGCCGGTAAGCAGTTCGCGCGGGTTACGAGCGCTTACGGCATACTAACCGCTAATAAAAAACCCTGCGAAAATAGAGTGGTCTTCAAAAACTAGATGAAGAGCATTAATTTTGGTGGCCACTAGAAATTCATAATTTAATCTCCTTTACCTGGTGGATAAAATAAGATTGATAACCTCTTGCATAAAGGGACCAGTGCAAAAAAAACCTGTGCTACACATTACCTGATCATAGTAGTTATAGTATAGCCTATCTCAGAAGCAGCTTTTCGAGCAATGAAAACGTAAAATGCTATGGAATGAGAGAAATAAAAGATTTGTAATATACTTTGCAATAATAAATATTTTTTTTTTACATTTTTGTTTTGCTGGATATCACAATAAACATGTAACAATAACGATATAATATTAAATAGCTCGTAATTACACCTAATATACAATGAATTCCGAAACGACAAAAATCACAACTTTATCAAATACTTAGCATATACTGTTATGATCTGTACAGCAAGCTTACTTAGTTACCAGATCAGAAGAACCTGGAAAAGTCGATTTTAAGAACAAACTGTCGTGCCGTTTGTACTCTAGATATTATCTAAATGAATTTCACTTAAATTGTGGTGTACAATAAAACAATTTATTAATTCAACTTCATCTTTTGTAGTACCACATGTCTTGGTTGATAATACATAAGCTTATCCAAAACTATCAAACTAAATACACTCTTAAAATTTCTATATACATAATATTATACGGGCTAAAAGCGTTATTCTTTATCCTGACGCGTGCGCGTTTTAGCCCATAAAATATTATTTATCAAACGACAGTTATTTATTTCGTCTATAACACTATTATAATAGACATAAAGTTCAGAATTGATTAAGAAAATTATACAGTATTATTTGTATCTAAAAAAATCCTTTATTAAAAAAAACATAAGCTCACAGCATAATCGATTCTGATAAATTTAGTACACTACGGCACGATATTTTCTAATCTAAATTGTGAATATCAAACAAGCATGATAAAGCTTTAAGTGACCTGAAAAATAAACATTTGGACTATTTGACCTGTTGTTGAATGTGCTTATAAATTAGAGACTACAACAGAGTTGACAGACTGGCCAATTGTTAAGTTGTTCTGTTAGTCGCACGAATCATTACAGATTTCAATCAATCGACCTACTCACTTTATTTCTCAGTTAATGCCTATCAATTAGAGGCAACATATACGTGATTAAAGACTATTATGTTTTTCTTCACAGTAAATAAAACCTTTGGCTATTGCTATTATGATATAACAGACTCAGACCAAATAAATTGATAAACATAAATTGAGGTATAATTATGATATTACACATTTAAAATCATGTTTATTAAAGAGGACACAAATCGGATTTTAATGAAGATTTATGTAGAAGGCGTTACTGCGGTAAATTTAAAAAGCATTTAAATGAAATAAAAAATATATTTCACGTTTTGAAACTTTGCCAATTTAAGTAAAAACCCACAGTATAATAAGAAAAAAAAATTTGGTTTAGAAAATTCCTCGAATTTGGAAAAAATACGTAAAACTGATATTACTTAAAAATAAATTAATCCTTATAAATACCACCCGCTATTGAATGACTTCGTGATAAATATTACAATAACTTTATGTACATACCGTACCTATTATAAAAAGCAAAATAATTTTAACACCCAAGTAATAAAAATAACCACAAAATTTTACAGCACCAAAAAGCCTTTTATATTGAATCATTGCATATACACAATATAATAATTTATATTTATAAGTATGTCATACAAGTGTAAATATTTATCAATATACTTATCACTATAATGAAATAAAAATCAGTTATATTTTCAGATCTCTGAAAAAAAACTCACTTCATCAAAATCATTTTTTAATACATATTCGTACATATATGAACAACCACGCATGGCTGAAAAACAAATATTTACCCCCACCGGGCAGCAGACAGGAGGCGGTCTTCAAAAATGAAATAGACCTTGATAATAAACAATAAAATTCACACTATCACAGATATAACAAGGACTTCTTTTTGAGGGATTTTCTGGACGCTCTTAAGAAACTTTAATAGTATAATTGCAAATGAAAAAATGAGGATCCGTAACGATTTTAGTTGAGAATGCAGAATTATAGAGCTAAGGATTCCATAAAATGCAGTGGTTAAATTTTTATTCTATAACAAATATTGACGAAGTTATGACCAAATTACTAAACGAATTTACGGCTGGCGGGGGGTGGCTGTGACGGCACGCCGGAGCTCTAGCGCTTGGGCGCGAGCGTGCTTAGAGACGCTACTAAAGTTCGACCGGAGTGAACCACCATCGAGCTCTATGACGTCACACGTTTCGGCCGCCGGTGAATATTGGCTACCATAAAATTAGTTATTAAATCACAACGAATGAACCGATTTCGATGATTTAAAAAGTATATTAATTAAAAAGCTTAAGATCATTATATTGTTTACAGATTTTGAGTTAATTTGCTGTACTATCAATGATCCTCATTGCAATACAAACGCACGAACGACAAATAGGGCGGCAGCAGGGTAAATTAATCTAATGGCGCTCTTTGATTGGTGCAAATGGGCGGTAGCTGACATCGCGTGCACTCGCGCCGAATCATGCAGAGGCTATTTTCACGATAAAAGGATATTTTTAATTTATAATGATGCTTAGTTATATGATGTTGTCTATTGAAGTTTGAATGAATGAACGCCACCCGACGTGGCTTAACTACGCAGTGAGTTTTCAGGTAACAGCCGACGCCACGTGTCAGTCGTTTTAGAATTTCCAATTTTCTTGAAAATCTTATCTGACTCGCTAAATAGATACATAGCACAGGATCATACGCTTACACTGTTTTCAGACAACTGTATTCAAAAATTGCTTTTGTGTCGTGGAATCGCGTGTTGGTAATTTTCACGGCACATCGGGTTCACACGTGGTGTCGCGTCGCGTCTCAATAATATGTTTCCCCCTAAAGTCAACGCCGCCTACCAAGATAGGCTTTAATTAAATTGTCAGAAAATTCCTCATAATTCACACTCAGTGGTGAACTTTATGCTTATAGAGAAAGTTCAAAATATGTTGATGTTAGCCTACATACATCAGGTTACCACAATGTGAAATGTTCATAATCTTATAATAACTGAATATTATCATTTACATCACGCAAAATGAATGCAACGCAAGGTATTTGGAATAAAAATAGTTTTTTTGTACGCAAATTTTAACGATAATAAAACCAAGGACGTATAAAAAAAGGCGGACAGAATTTCGGCTAAGACAAAAGTGAGGCACCGTAATGGCGGCGGTTATCTATGAGTGAGTGAATGCAGGGTTGCTAGGTTAGCCAATATTTTACCAATAAAACACAGTAAAAAGATCAAAATATTTTAATTGTTCAAAATTTTACCCGACTGCGGTGGATAATGTTTTTCGAGCGTGTATGCATGTATGTATGCCCAATAATAAGGCGCCAAAATGAAACCTTTAGAAAAAAAATGCTTATAACCCGTCAAGCGAGGTATCAAAGTAAAGGGTCTTAAAAGAATGCAGTGGATCCCCGGTAGTCCGACAAACATTTTGCAGGGCAGTGTCGAACTATCGAATTTGTCGGATTATAGAGTACTGCCTAAGACCCCCTATAGTCCGAATTTTTTTACAAAAGAGTACCTTGTAATCCGACAAATTACAGATCCAATGATAAGATTACAAAACATACTTTGTTATGTATGTCAAATTGAGTAAATTAAACAACACAATAGAAAGATTATGTTTTATTATAAAACTAACGTCAAATGCTATAGAATTTACAAAAAAATATAAAAAACAATACCCTACGCGTCGAGCACAATTGTGATGGTGCGTACAAGTTGTAACTTGTTCAATCGTGAATTAGCGAATACTTGTATGTAATAGACGATGTCGGATTATAGGGGGTGCCGCATTAGCCAGGGGCCGGATTACCGGGGCTCCACTGTATTTAGAAAATAGGTATGCAAATCGTGTAATTCAAGTTTTTTCTCTGATATTAATAGATGGCGAGGCAGGCCTTATGATATTTTATTGGGCAAGCACAGCAAACAACAGCATTGCCCGGCGCCAAAAAACTTCCACATGCTCCACAGTTTACCACCTTTAGTCCAAAAATTAGAATTATAAAGTCTAAATAAAAGGGAGACAAATAAAAATAAGAACAGGTGCTGGGGTCTAAAACAAATATATAAAAAATGGAAAAAAAATATAATAAAAAATAAAACACGAGTGCGGGATTTGAACCGACGACCGCGGTGATGCGTCGAACGTTGGTCCCGTGGCAAAAATTTAACACACTGCACCGTTTCGATCGATACTGGAAAGGCGAAAATTGTGTTCATACGCACTGTTTTTAAGTTGGCATTGATCGAAATGTTTTGTTTAAATATTATCGTTAGTAATATTATTTATCGTTGAAAATATTTTAAAACTTTTGTTTCATTGTAGGTTTTTTAAATAATCAAAGTTAATTCAAACTATTATATATAACAAATATTGACTTTTTTTATATTCCACTTTTTTTTCAACACTGAACTTAGCGCACTTTGCTGGTGCATTTGAAAACTAATTCACGTTCCAATTAATCATCAGCATAATTCGGCATTGGTAGCCACTGAGTCGCATTATGCTCTGTAATTGGAAAACTAACATGAAGTCTGTTTTTATTTTTGTATGAAAAAGTTTATATTTTCCACTTTTCATAAGCCAGAGTAAATCACCTAAATATGCCTGGCCAGGCCTGCATTCTTTTTTATATTTCTTAAATTAACAAAACATGCATTGAGTACTGTTTGTAATTGAGGAGTTCCATTGTTTCCCTCCGAAAATATTCATCAGCTCTGCACTTAATTAATACAGCCATCTCGCTAATAAACTGATTCAAACAAAAAAATAATCATCAAAATCGGTCCACGAATCTCGGAGATATGCACGAACAACAATTGAAAAAAAAAAATAACAAATATGACGTATAGAACCTCTTTCTTTTTGAAGTCGGTTAAAATTTTTAATTTACCTTTTGAGGTACTGCATGCGTAACAACACGCCGGAGTCCTCTTTTAGTAGTATATAAGTCTCCAGCTTCAAAATGGATACTGCAAATGACACTATATTTATTTGGAATACATTCATCATCTCCGTTACAATTCCTAATAACTTGGATCCAGTCATTTCTCCATTCTACATTTTCTTTAGGGAATCTGATAAAAAAGAATAACAAATAATAGATTGAAGCTAATGTCACCCCAATTTCCCATATTTTAGGTAATATGGTTACGTGAACATTGACAACACTGGACTTTAGATTAATTATTTTGTGCTTAGAATGAAAATTGATTTCGATTTCTAAAAACTAGAAAAAAGTGATTATATTGTTCATTTACCTATGAAACGTGATTCCTGGATTTTTTTTCTTTCGGTCACTACGGTTTTTACACCATTTTACCACGCAAGACATCTTGTTTTAACTTATTTTTATCTCCACTTAACGTATCGGCTGCTTTGACGTTTGCACGCGTAATGGCTGACTATGGTGTGAATGTGTGTGTGCCGGCTTGTACATATAGCGACCTGGCCGACTCTGAGCGACACAGTTTGTTGTTTACCGGGACTCTGTCCGCCTTTTTTTATACGTCCATGAATAAAACTAGGCAAAAGGAATGTAATGTCGAATACCAGAGCGTTTCCGGTTTCATGAGCTTTCTAAACAATTAGAAATTTACCACTTAAATAAATTACTTGTGACACTGATCCATTACATATAAAACATTAAGTACACGTTACAAGTACTTCTTATATTATAAATCACAAAACGAAATTGTGCACACAATTTTTTAATAGCGTCATTTTTTTGGTTTAGAGTGTAAAGCATAAAGGATATCACCCATTTGGTTTTTATAATCATACACACAAAATAAAATACATGAAGATAGTTATTTAGTTGTTGTTATACAGTGGATAAACACTTCGTAACTACTTTAAAATGGAGAATGATTCTGTAACCGATGCACCATACTGGTGAATGATGTATGATTGATTACTGAACAACTACTTAACATAAAAAATGAAATTAAATATGATGAATGTCTTGTTCTTCGTTCTAAGATAAATGCAGTCCCTTTTTTTCCGATATGATTTTCTCGCAGTGCGTATAACTTTGCGGTTGATAAAATGCTGTGTACAAACAATTTCGGCTATTAGTATTTCTGTTAGTAGGGTATACGTCAAAATGAACTGTATTATATTTATAGGCGAGATGACTAAAGCAAACCAAATTCAATTTAATCCATCTGTAAGATTATTAAATAACATCCGATACTTATTGTTAATCTACCTGATAGGTAAAGAAAAAAGGTTAAGTCATCATCCCTATTGAAATCAGCCTTTGAATGCTTCTTTGCCCAGGAGTGTATATAAAAATTGCACTACGTTTACTGTGGTCACAGTGCCCTTCAAACTTCACCGAGGTTGTGAAGTTAGCAGCGAGCTTAATTGCGCAGTTACAGTAAGGTGACACTCTGCGAATCTCAATTTCGTTTATAATACGAACCGTGCTTTGTGGCGCTCAATCTCTCTACCTACCCCAACCAACTCTGCGTGAAGATAGATATATTGCAGACACGGCCATTAAGGTTGCAGTTTAGCGCAGCGGTTGTAAATTCGACGCCTGCTTGACACTGACAACTTGACGCAAATTATTCGACCGAGCGTTTAAATTAATCTATAGACCATGGAGGTTAGAGAGAAGTAGAACGATCGCTGTAGAAAATAGTGTCCCAGAAATATGGATAAAATAAAGTGAGGCGCTGCGATCGATAAGTTGTTTCAATAAAAGCGGGCTGTTGTGCGCTAATTTGAAATGACCAATGCCGCGAAGAAAATTTGTACATTATTGAACTAAATTCATCTATTTGTACTCATAAACAACTTACTTCGCAGAAATACTTACCGACGGCAGCGCGGCTGGTGGCTGAAAAATTAACTATAAATTCTACAAATTTTCAGGTTCAGGCAGGCTAATGCTTTAGCACGTAGCAATCGTTCTTCTTCTCTCTAACTTCCATGCTATAGACTATGATGACATATGTGATTTAGCGGATGAGTAGACCTTTCTTCGCAGTGCTGCCACCTGGCGCCCGTCATTCCAGAAAACCATCATTACATTAATTCTCTCTCTTACCGGTTGACTATTTGAGAGTGTACAGCGCTTGGTTCACGTGAGCTATAAGTCTTCCGTCCAACAAGTGGCGGCCGTACTGAGTCGCCTCGTGTTCGTCTTTATCCAGACCTTTTAATTACATTAAATTTACTTACCCGTGGTCTATATGAAGATATAAAGAAGCGGTGAGTTGGTGAAGTGGTGCGCTTGGTTCACGTGAGGTATGAGTCTTCCGTCCAAAAAGAGGCGGCCGTACTGAGTCGCTTCGTGTTCGTCTTTAGCCAGACCTTTTAATTACATTAAATTTACTTACCCGTGGTCTATATGAAGGTATAAAGAAGCGGTGAGTTGGTGAAGTGGTACGCTTGGTTCACGTGAGCTATGAGTCTTCCGTCCAAAAAGAGGCGGCCGTACTGAGTCGCCTCGTGTTCGTCTTTAGCCAGACCTTTTAATTACATTAAATTTACTTACCCGTGGTCTATATGAAGGTATAAAGAAGCGGTGAGTTGGTGAAGTGGTGCGCTTGGTTCACGTGAGCTATGAGTCTTCCGTCCAACAAGTGGCGGCCGTACTGAGTCGCCTCATGTTCGTCTTTAGCCAGACCGCAGTTCACTAGCCATCGTACGAGACAAGATCCACGGAATACACCGCGATATGTGCGCATACGCCACCTGAATAATCATAAAAGAGATTGCTCAAATTGGCCCAAACGCACAAAAAATATTGACATACACGGTAATTCTTGGCGTAATTTATAATTTAATTTACAATCATTAGATTTCAACGGACGCCTTTGTATAATATATTAACTTTAAAAAAGACTTTTAATTTTACCGGTTTGGAAAACATACGGATCACTTTTAAATGGCTACTATGGGTGTAGTAACATTCAGCCAAAGACTGATCGAAGTTGTTTATATAACATAAAAACAAGTCTATTTTGTAAAGATCGATAAAATAAATCATTTTTTTTATTACACTATGGTATTAATATCCACAAATGTGCTCAGACAAGTATTATAGATGGTAGGCGACATCATAAAGTCTATTGCCATACATTTTTCGCCAAACACCTCCATAAACACATTATAATCTGTATATACTCGTATGTTAGACTTTAAGGTATCTATCTATGGGCCTACGTTGCCTGACTATAAATTAATAAATAAATAAAATTATAAGGTGTGATACACTAAATATCTAAAATATGTTTATATTAAAAACATAACAAAAATAATGAAGCTACTGAATATATGGCTATATAACCTAAATCTCTTAGCTTTCTTTGGTTAACGAGAGTTTAAAAATTCTCTCTAATCTGTGGCTCATTCACAATCATCACACAGTTTCTGTCACAGAGTACCTTATTATAACCGGAAATGCATAGATGACACCTGATTTTATAAGTTACTTTTATGCATTAACTTTAAAAACAGGCAAATCTACATGCTCTATATACCTGAATCTAATCCATAATTTCGGTACTTGGCTTGATTTCTCTAGTTTACTATATAACTTTTTTGTTTTTTATTATTTTAATATGTTCAGTGTATATGGTTTATAAAAGTTCTCAGGGGTGTCCGTCAATAATATTCGTTTCTACAGTAATTCTTCATGATTATTGGTCTTTAGGCCAAACATGTATGGAAGCTGAGCAATCTCCTTTAAGTGACGTAAGTACGATAGTTCGATGGTGCAATAGATTAGCGCGTTCTGCTGCGACCGTTGAAGTATAGATGTAAGTGATTATTAAATAAATAAATAAAAAAAATGGGTGCGTGTACTTATGTAGGCGCGTGAGAAGTTATCCTTCTTTGGCATCGTTTAAAATTAGTTTTTAATTGCATGCAAATAATTAATTACAATAAATTAATAAAAAGTCTGGAAAAGGACACAGTCAATAAAGTTCAGTTTTAATTTGAAAAAATAAATAAATAATCAAAATATTCAATTAAAATCGCTACTGAATATAATTTATTAGAACATATGTGATTTGCACTTGTATGAAACTCAAACACGTATTCCGAATATACAAACTAGAAACATGTGGATAAATATTATAAATATGAATACCTATAACTGTTACTTTATTACAAAAAAAAAAGATGTGGTTTTTGGTTCTACTACACCAATGGTCAAGAGATGGCGCTGTAGTCTCCTGAATCGCGCTTTGGTTCCGTTGTTCCAGATTAATAAATACTTTTGATAGGCCTTCACAATGCAGTCGTTAGCACCCACTAAATAGAGATTCTATTTCTATTTTGTTGGTAGATTTTCTTAATGTGCGGTAAACACAAAAGTAACAGCATGAAGTTGGTCGCTTTAGCGACTTTAATTTTTGTGTTACAGTGATGCGCGCGCATCTTAAAATTTCACTCTCATCATTTTTTCATAACGCGCCTAAAGAAGTATAACTTCAAAAATAAATAAATAAAAACTTAAGCAACTTTCGCAGTGGTCGGTCATTGGATGGGTGACCCAAAATTTACTATCTCGAGCTCCTTCGTGCTTCGGAAGGATCGTTAAACCGTTGGTCCCGGCTGCATCTGCAGTCGTTAGCACCCGCCAATCCGCACTGGGCATGCGTGGTGGGTCATTTCCTAATCTCCTTATTCCATCGATAAAGCCTGTGTCCCAGCAGTGGATGGGATCAGACAATAATAGGCTGATGACGAAGTATAATACAAGTACCTAAGGTAGGGTCGCCGAAAATCGGATGTGATATAAAATCGAATGCCTAGAATTTTTCCACGAACGAATCTATATTAATCACAGATGACAACATAGTTTGGTCCGTCATTTTATTCTGCCTTTCCTCTCATACCCAGAACAGTGTTGCGGCAAGCAGGATGCGAGTAATGAAGTTCGGAAAAATTGTACTGGGAAGAACGGCATTTTTATTTGCACGTTCGGCTGCGATCGTTGAAGTTAAGCAACTTTCGCAGTGGTCGGTCATTGGATGGGTGACCAAAAATCTTTTATCTCGAGTACCTCCGTACTTCGGAGGGCACGTTAAGCCGTTGGTCTCGGCTGCATCTGCAGTCGTTAGCACCCGCCAATCCGCACTGGACCCGCGTGATGGGTCATGGCCCAATCTCCCTATTCCATCCATAGGGGAGGCCTGTGCTTCAGCAGTGGGGACATTAATAGGCTGATGATGATGAAGCATCTATAGGCTATGGTGGCCGCTTATCATTAAGCGGGTCAAATGCTTGTTTGCTCGGTGCCCTGGGCTCGCGTGGGGATTACGGCCCAATCTCTCTATTCCATCCATAGGGAAAGCTTGATGATGATTGACCTATTAAGCTCAAATTACCTTGTATCTTTGGCAATGGCTTCCTTGCATCTCTCCAGATGATGAGTTATGAACTGGTCGCAAACGTGTTTCGTTTCAAAACTGAGATCTTCGATTGATGGCAATACCAAGAGGTCAGCATTGCCATACCTTTAAAAAAAATTTGCTAGTGCTAAAAACACAATGAAAATTATCTGCAACTATCCCCTTGTATCATGTCATCTAATGTTGTAAACCGGATCGTAACAAAAAAAAGGATGAGTAAATAATAATTTAAAGTAAATATGTTATGTTAATCGAGCGGAATTCATTTAAATGCGATATTATTTTACAAACAACAATAACAACCCAAGACACGCTTGACCAAAATAATTGGGGTGTGTGAAAATATAAAATGACTAGTAGGTGTCCGCGACTTTGTATGCGTGGATAAATTGGTTTCCCATACAAAATTCCAATCCCTTTAAGGGTGCTTTCATGTATAAAAACTATCTTATGTCGTTCCATCTCTGTACCAAATTTCATCTAAATCGGTGCAGCGGTTTCAGCGTGAAGAGAAAACAGAGAGGCAGGCATACTTTCGCATTTATAATATTAGTATGGATTAACATTGACAACATGGAGCTAAATAAAAACCTTTTTTTTTAGCAAAGGTTGACTGATAGTGGATGCTTTTAGCATTGAGTCCGCCTCTTGCACCATTTTTCTGCATTGGTCAATAAAGTTTTGTAATAAATAAATATTACATACTAATCCTCACCATTTCTTCTTGAAATATCTGACAGTAGGTATGAGAATCTCCTCCGGGTCCAGTCCGAACAATACGAATATAACGAGCGCCTGGCCATAGTTAGCTGCGATGTCCAGGAACTCGATCTCAATGAAAACTCCGCTCTCGTCGCTCATCATCATCCGCCAAGTTGTGTACGTGATACCCTATTGTACAGAAAAAGTACGTCTGGTCTGACCACAGGGCCGGATATAAGGCAGAGCAGGTGAGGCTGTGGCCCAGGGCCATCAGGGGTGCAAATTGTAAGTGTCCCAGGGTGCCCGATTTTAAAATAGGTAGTATTTTCACTCCTCACGTCCTCCACTTCGCCGATGTACCGAGGCCTCAACACCTCTGTCAGGGTCGGATTTAAGGCAGGGCAGGCGGGAATGGGGGCCCCTTTCTGGTGGAGGCCCCTGGAAAACGGAAATAAGTGGCCCCGGGTTCCAGATTTTACAATCCGCTCTAGTTAAGGGCTTCCACTCCTTCATTGCCCCAGGGTCTACAGCCTTCAAAATCCGGCCCTGCCTGACAATGTTGTGTAAAATATGGGCAATACAAAAACACACATTTAATTTTTATTTTAATATAAAATTAAGATTATCTCAGCATAAATTGTGACAAAGTTTAATACTAATACAGTTGTTATTAATTAATTAAAGCTTCATTTAGCCAATTTCTACATAGAGAATCGCAAAAAGCGACAGCATCAACTTTATTAAAAGGTGTGCTTGAGAAGTTGTCCGCCGCAGCCGCGCGTCTATTCCGGCAGCAACAGTCCCAGCTGGCTGGCGAGTCTAATAATGAGCCTGTCACACATAATATGTGTATATATATTGTCTATAGTGTCCAAAACTAAAGTGTCTATTTACTACCATCTGCATCAAGTGTCGATTTCCAAACTTCTTAATTTTTGAAAAGAATAATAAACAAAGTATTATTAAAAGAAAATCATAAAGATGATTAGGCAAGTATATCTTGTAAAGCGCACCTCACAAAATTCTTCTATACATTATGAGTTTTTAATTATTAGTTTTTGGCATTTTCTGTAAAATTCATTCTGATATACATAGCTAGTTTTAGCTAGCTACGGACACTCCTCATATATAGATGACACGACTTACAATGAACATAGTGAGGCTGTACGCGATGATGAGGACGGTGTGCTTGAGTAGTTGTCCGCCGCGGCCGCGCGTCTGTTCCGGCGGCAACAGTCCCAATTGGCTAGCGGCGCGTTCCAGCTCGTTGAGATAACTGCAGGACCCTTCGGGGGCGTTGCATCGAGGTTTCTGCGATGGCGGGCAAGCGCAGTCCTTACTGCGTTAATTCAAGAAAAATGAATTCTAAGTGCAATTCAATCGTGCAATACCGTTTTTCAAAACCTATTTAGGCTTGTGTACATGACTAATAAACTTCGATAAATGTTACTCTAAGTTCAATATAAATATTACTGAAAGCTCTCAATAGAAAGGCATAGATCGCAAAAACTTGGTTATTGGTGATATCTCTAATAACTATAAAGTGTCAGTTTCTTATCCCTCAAAAATACTTACGGCGGTGTATTGCCGCTCGCGATATCTTCAATATCGTGGCTGTGCATAAAGCCGTTTTGGCAGTTCGGATCATCGGAACAACACCCAGAGTTGATGTTTATGTTGGGCGACGGTGTTGTAGTTATGGTCCCGTAACATCCTTTGAGGGTAAAATTATTGAATTTAGTACATATTATTACTTTCATATACAAATTCCTGACAAACTGCACAACACAGCCAAAGAATGTAGAAGTAATAAAACAGACAGAAAACCTTGTTAATTTTTTGGTTTCCCAGAGGGTGCACAAACAGAATCTTATTACCAAGCCTACGCTCTAGTCGTCTGTCTCTCAGTGGACTGTACTGAATGTTGAAGAGAAGAAGACGGTTGAAATTTTCAGTGTATTGTGTGTGTTGACGCTTGAAAGGCACGTCTTTGCAGCCCGATTTTAGCGAAAGTAGTCCCGTTAAGTACAATTTTGTTTTAATGATTATAAAAGCCGAGTGTATGAAACATTAACTTTGTAACTTAGAAAGCATGAAGTCACCTGTTTAGATTTTTAATTTGAAGTTGAAAATTTCAGTCATAATTCACCAAACGTAAATTTTTCACTTTAGATCAACATTTTCATAACTTTCATCAAAGTTACAAAGCTAATTATTTTATGCATAAAAAGTACAAATCACGAGAATTCACTTCCAAAAAAAATTACCATAGTCTTGATTTTTTTTTAAGTTGGCCCTGTCGAAAATTACCGAAATTTAAAAAAAAACTCGAAAAACTACAAAATGTCGCGGAACATACATGGGGATGATTCAGACACCCCACGATACGAGGCGCCCAACTTTTTTTAGACGTCTATGTCACGGTAATATTATCTATACAGTATTGTGACTCCGCCCTGTCCTTGAAAATAAATGCCTACACCGAACGCTGCGTTGGCACGCGGTAGGGCCGCCAGCCTACAGTATTTTATGTAGTTTTGTTTTTAACGCGAGTGTAGGTAGATTACTCCTTTGTCTCCTTTTTCATCCTAACCACTTATTTATATATTATTCCAGATATTTTGCCCGATGGAAAAACCGAAATACCTAAATATTAGAAACAAATAACGTACTAGTAGATAGGTATATAAAAAATATTCTATAAAGGAAAGACACCTTTCCAATATTTCAGGTAATTTAAAAAATGATATCTCTGGGTGTGTTATTGAAGAGTTCAAGCAACCAAAAACAGCAATTGTGCTGTTGTACGATATTGATCGTCGTTTGTTCTTTTCCATACTAAATTATGTAGGTATCTACTTAATTAAATCAAATATTTACAATACAAAACGCATGTTTAAGCACGGCTAACTGCATAAAAAACAATTCAGACCGTCCGGTCGTCGTTGCGGCGCGGCGCGGCGGCGCATTCGCGACTGGGTGCACGCCGAGAGCACATCGAACTCGAGTGGCGTAGGTATGACTCGCTTTTCGACCGTTTGTATGAAGATAGAATACTGTATGATATTATTACCGTGTCTATGTCCCAGCCACGTATATTGTCTAATATAGATCCCCGCAAACTTCTTAAGCAAAACCACTGACAAATAAACTTGCGCAATAGAAAGTATTTGTAAGTTAAATTGCTACTGCCCAGGCTTTCCTATCTATGGTCGTTGCTCAAGAAGTTTGTGGGGATAGATATCAATATTATCATAAATTCTATAACCATCCAGACTCCAGGAAATTCAAGTTTTTACCAGTCAGGACTGGGATCTCCGAGTTTGAGACGCGATTCAGATCGCACCCTCTTGACTCAGGATATTATAAGTACTGTTAAACAATATTTGAATGATAAAACCGCCTGGTCGTAATTGTTACCTTCAGAAATTTTTCAAAGTTATATTACACTTGTCTCCTCAAGAGGAGTATTAAAGAGAACCTTGCACCTAGTGTCTATTTTAAACTTGCTCATGTATTTTGAAAATTGTTTACCGGATATTTCGAGGCTTTTGTATATTAATTGTTACATTTCTTACATTATGTGATGGAAGTTGACCTCAATACATGTTTATAAGTTTGATGTCAGCTTTCAATTTGATGCCACTGTATGAAATAATACAGGGAGAAAAAAGCAGCCCTTGCTGAGTTTTTCACCGGTTTTTCTGAGTACAAGGTCTCCCGCCGTAGACTTGCGAATCGATGGCGTAGCTTTCGACTTTCACATGTGCTTGTAAAAGCCTAAACTCAATAAATGAATATTGCTTTTGTTTTTCTTTTTTTTGATAATGTTAGGTAAACATATTTGCCTTTTACATTGAATGTTGGAACCTTTCCAGGAGCATAACACAAAAACACAATGTTATTTGGCTAGACTCATCCGTTTTGATGGAGGACAGTATAGTCGCTCTAGCTAGTCAAAATGGGTAGTCTAACTTACCTTGTTCCTCTAGGATATGCCATTTCGAAAAGAAAAAAAATATATATTATAGACTTAAACTGCAACACTTTACATACTTCAGAATACTTGATAAATTGAGGACCGTCCAGGGCAGCAATTTTTCAACATACGGGCATGACCTTTGGTGTCGTCCAAATAGTCAGTCTTTTGAATAGCAGCTGCTGGAGGGTTATGCCCGAGTAAATCCCAGAATCCCCGCTTGGGCTCCCTTACTACTACGTTGGTTACTACTCTAGATAGATTAGTATGTTAACTACTATTAAAATAACTAACAGCATAAAATATGTAACTAACGCTATCTCCTGAAGTTTGTTGTAAGATATGGAAAATAATTTTGTTTAGTCTGTAGTTCTAAGTCATTGGGGTTTCAACTTACCGTTGTTAGATATAGACGGGGTATTCGACACGGGTTCGGCATTTTCGACAAGACTAGTAGACTCGTCGGGGGGTGAACCCGACACTTCGGCCGATAGAGTGGCGAACTGTGCACTGCGCCTTCGGAACCGCACGTATACGATCAGGCAGCCTGCCGTCACTGCCATATTGGAAAATAATTAAAATTTTCTCACACTTAAAATGATAAAGCACGTCAAAGTCTGGGGACGGGGCGGGTGACGTCATTGCTAAGTAAAAGTGTACTAAGACGTGACGTATTGTGACATTTCAAATCAATATAGCTCTGCCATGTTTTGATTGTTTGAATAAAGAAAAAAATACGTGTCCAATACATTAATAATCTACCTGATATACAAAGAAAAAAAATAGTCATCATTCCTTTTATTAACTCACAATTCAAAAGTATTTCATCTATATATGACCAATTAAATTCCCATAACTAACCAGTGAGACAGAACACGAGTAGGCACAGCCTGATGGCATCGATGGCTGTGTCATCTAAGTCGCCAGCGGAGCCCTTAGTGGCCAGCAATATCGCGGTCATCACTCCAGGCGCGCCCCACGCGACGAACCCTAATACCGGCCACAGAGTCACCACGAAGCATGGACCGCGACTCTGAACAAAACATATTGTGATTTAAAACGAGTGGCCACAGTCTGATGGCGTTAGCGATGGCCCTTAGGGGCCTGCAATGACGCAGTTATCACCCCAGGCGCTTCCCACGCCACGAACCCTTTTTTTTTTTTTGTTGACGATGGAAAATGCATTTACGCACCGTACCGCGCGCTGGCGCGCGGCGTGTGTGGTACTCCCCGGCGCGGAACAACGCCGGTCCTACCCACTGAAAACCAGCGGTACCCTCCTACGCTCATATGGGGGCGTCTTGGGATCGGCGCACCTTAGTGTGCGCCACTTCACTGGGACGCCCCCGGGCTGGCCCGGCCCAACGAGTGGACCGGGCGACACGCCTCTGGGGGATTGCGCTAGGGTACTAGGCAATCCCCAGACGGGGTGACCTATGCCGAATGGCACCAAGGGCACGCGGCGGCCAAGCCGCGCCCAGACCACCTTAGAGCCGACGAAGACCGGCAGTCACAGCTGCCAGCCTTCTTCGGCCCACCCGTCTACGTCGGAGGGGAGCGGCTAGAGCATCGTCCTCCCGCTCCCTCTCCGCTGCCTCCTTCTGCCCCATCACAACTTCGCAGAAGGAGGCGGCAGCCTTCCATGCCCTCTCATTGCCAAGCATGGCTCGAGCCATGCTTGGCAATGAGAGGGCGGTCCTCCAAAAGAGCGGTCCTCCGCCGAGTGCCGCCATCAACGTGCGGCGCTCGTTTCGCCAGGCCGGGCACACGATCAGTGTGTGCTCGGCCGTGTCGTCGGGGGAGGCGCAGTGATGACACCGCGGCAACTCCTCCCGACGGGCGACACGGCGCAGGTAGTGGCCGAAACACCTATGTCCGGTCAGTACCTGCACCAGGCGGTAGGTGAAGCTGCCCCGCTGGCGCCCTACCCACTCCTCCAACACCGGACGGATCGCCTCGATCGTCCGGTGGCCAGCGGCTGGGTTGGCGAGTGCCTCGCCCCATCAGCGCAGAGCCTCCCTCTGCGCCTGGTTGCGGACCCGTTCGATCTCCTCCAGAACGGGCCGCTCGCCCCGCTCTCTCGCCGCGGCCCTGTGTCGATGCACCTGGGACAGAACCAGGGCATCGATCTCCCACGGGAGCGTACCTGCGAGGACGCAGGCAGCCCCGTGGCTGACCGTGCGGTAAGCCCGCACGGCCCGGGCCGCGATGACCCTCTGTGTTCTCCGTAAGAGGCCCTTTGTGCGGGACGAAAGGCACTCTGCCCACACCGGGGCTCCGTACAGTGCCATCGACCTTATCACTCCATTATAAAGTCGACGGCACGACGCCCTTGACCCTCCCACATTGGGGAGGAGCCGTCCGAGTCCGGCTGCGGCGGCGCACAGCCGGGGAGCGAGGAGCCTAAAATGCTCCTCGAAACTCCACCGGGGATCAAGGGTCAGGCCGAGATACTTCATGTACATCTCGACATGAACCTGGATCCCCTCAACCCGGACACGGAGCCCCGGTGGGGTCCTGCGTCTTAGGGCATGGAACGCCATGGCCCTCGTTTTATCGAGGGCCACCTCCAACCCCAGGAGGCGGATGCGTCGGACGACCATGGAGGTGCCGACCGACGCAAGGTGGACCGCCTCCTCCCACTCCTTCGCTCTCGCCGCGACAAGGGTGTCGTCCGCGAAGCAGACGACATCCATTCGCGGCAAGAGACACCGGCCACAGAGTCACCACGACGCACGGACCGCGACTCTGAACAGAACATATTGCGAGTTAACACGAGTAGGCACAGCCTGATGGCGTATAAGTCACCAGTGGAGCCCTAACGGTCATTAATATCGCAGTCTTCACCCCCGGCGCTCCCCGCGCCACTGTCCCTAACCCCGGCCACAGACTCACCACTAAGCACGCACCGCGACTCTGAACAAAACATATTGTGATTTAAAACGAGTGGCCACAGTCTGATGGCGTTAGCAATGGCCCTTAGTGGCCTGCAATATCGCGGTCATCACCCCCGGCGCGCCCCACGCGACGAACCCTAACACCGGCTACAGAGTCACCAAGAAGCACGCACCGCGACTCTGGACAGAAAATATTGTGAGTTATCCCGAGTAGGCACAGCCTTATGGCGTATAAGTCACCAGCGGAGTCCTATAATGGCCAGAAATATCGCGGTCATCACCCCAGGCGCTCCCCACGCCACGAACCCTAACACCGGACACAGAGTCACCACGAAGCACGGACCACGACTCTGAATAGAACATATTGTGAGTTAACACGAGTAAGCACAGCCTGATGGCTTATAAGTCACTATCGGAGCCCTATAGTGGCCAGCAATATCGCGGACATCACCCCAGGCGATCCCCACGCCACGAACCATAACACCGGACACATAGTCACCACTAAGTACGGACCGGGACTCTGAATAAAACATCATCATCAAAGCCTATTAATGTCCCCACTACTGGGGCATAGGTCTTCTCTTCCATCTATAGCTAGCTTTTTAGGAAACCAACCATGCGGGCTCAGTGCGGATTAGTAGGTGTTAGCTAAGCTAACTAATGCACCCGGGACGGGATCAACGGTTTAACGTGCCGAAGAAAGAAGAAGCCCGAGATAATATTTTGGTCACCCATCCCATGACCAATCATTGCAAAAGTTGCTTGACTTCCATATTAAAAAATGAACGCGCTAACAATTTGCGCCATAGAGCTACTCAAAGGAAAGCTTGACTAACTTAAAAAAAAACTAGACTGACTAGTTCAAGTATAAAAATTTGCTAAACACTGGTTTGAGGGACATTGATGCAACTAGAGAGCGTCTCTAAAGACTCCGACCTCGGCTCTAGTCGACGTGGCGCTAAGTTATGACTATCAGAAATTGTATTACAATATTGGCTACTGCAAATTTCCAAATATTCTGCAATCGATTTAAAAAATTAAATTCAGCTGAAACTATAATAACTGTTGGTAAATTTAATAAATGAAAATAAAAGAATATTTCTATTAACCTGTTATTAAATAAAACATATGTTAGATCCTTCCTTACCTCTAACATAAGCAGACCGATAGACAACATCGAAGTCCAAAGCAAGCACGAGAACATACTGAATGTTCGGAGTGCCTCTTGCAGTGTGTAGAACCAGGAGATTTTATGATTTGGTAGAGGACCTCCCCATATGACGCTCACAGCTAGTAATATCTGAACAAAATACATATGAAAGTTCCTGTTTGGAATCAATAAGAAGAAATTTCAATATCGTGGCAGAAAATAATTTCTATAGGTTTGACAATTCTATCACCAATCTTTTTATGATAAGTAGTTTTTTCTATACAAGTGTTATTTTTAGACCAGTGATTATAATAACTATTTCAAAATTAATAATAATTGTTGAAGTTATACTTCTTTAAGCGCGTTATGAAAAAATGATGAGAGTGAAATTTTTAGATGCGCGCGCATCACTGTAACCCAAAAGTAACAGCATGAAGTTGGCCGCGGGCGCGTTATGAAAAAATCATGTGAGTGAAATTTCGAGATGCGCGCGCATCACTGTAACACAATAGTAACACCATGAAGTTGGCCGCGGGCGCGTTATGAATGTTAGTGTCTAATAATGGTGGATTATTAACCACGACATCTGTTCGAAAGGTACTTTGAACGATCCACGGAGCTCCATAAGATGATCGCGTTGTCAAAAACAATGTTGGCACGCTCGTCGCCTCTGATCACTGTTTTCATATTTATAATATTTATCCACATGTTTCTAGTTTCTATATAGACACAATGTGTTTTAGTTACTTACAAGTGCTAATTACATATGGACTAATAACTTAAATTCAGTAGTGATTTTAATTGAATATTTTGAATATTTATTTAATTTTTCAAATTAAAACTGAACTTAATTGACTGTGTTAACTATCCTTTTCCAGTCCTTTTATTATTTTATTGTAATTATTAATTATTTGCATGCAATTAAAAAACATTTTTAATGATGCTAAAGAAGTATAACTTCTCACGCGCTTACATAAGTTACACGCATCCATTTTTTTTTTCTATGCAACTATCCGCATTTCAGATAATTGGGATATTCAAAACAATTATAGGGTATTGATTTTAAAAATAATCAAGACTGGATTGTTTGGTAAATACATGACATGAGAAATGATATATATACCTAGTGGCAATGTACCACCTGGATGGCAACTCCACTTATCAAATAATTTATTAAGAGTAAACAAATGACTGAAAATGGTAACTCAACTTATTTATTGAAGAGAAAACTAAAATATAAAATTACCTGCGATACTATCAAGCACATAGTCAGTCTATGGGGCATTCTTTTATATTTCTTAGTCACAATGAATACAAAGAGTACCCAAAGAGCTGCGACCAAAGCAACTATGGAAAGGTCGAAGCCGAATCTCTTCAACTGGTCAGCATAATCTTTGTTTATAGCTATAACTTGTGCTGACAAAAACATCATAGGTGCTGATAGAAAAGTACAGATTACCATTGAAGAAGCCATCTGAAATAAATAAAAAAAAATAGTGTGCACGGACAATAAAGTGAAATTTCTTATCTCAAATAGTCTAACTAGTGTTGGGTAGGACACGAATTGGAAAAGAGTTTGTAAGAGTAGCCTCTTTTTTTTACTGAGCCAGTACAATGTCCCACTTTAAATTAGGCGAGGCATACTGAAGTTCGGCAATTAAAGTGATGAGTACAAAAATGACATATATAGATAACTCTGCTTTATGACATAAATAATGTTTCGCGTCGCAAAAAACTCGAAATTTCTAAAAAATATTGTTATTATTATTATAAAATTTGAAAATTTGTTTTATGGCAGCAAAAGACACGTTTGGATGCAATTTGTATAAAAAATATAACGAAATCATTCTTGAAAATATAATAAATGTCATTACTAGATAAAAAATATTTATTATTTGAACTATTTTGTATTTACTATTTTTTATTTTAAATAATCATACCCGTAAATTCATCAATTTTATCTACGGATATTAAAGATATTTAGATAGTGCCGTGCGCATTTGAGTAAAAAAAAACACGTTTAAACGTAATCGAACGTATTTCAAAACGAAACTAGTAAATTACGCGACAATATGAAATGTATTGCCTCGCTCGAGGGAGAGAGGCAGATAGAGTGAGTAACAAGACCCAACAGTCGCTACATAAAATATGAAGTAGTACATTTTAAAATATCGAGCCGTCTGTACCGCCTCTTGTAACAACACTAAGCCTAACATAAGCCGGTGCATAAGGCATAGGGGAATATGAGCAGCGCACGCATCACTATATATGTATATTGTCGCGTGTGACGTTCGTAGCGTTTCAGCCTTCGCCGAGTTACCCTCCAACTTACATGCACGTCGGTAAGAGCTGCGCACGCATCTCACACACACGCACATATATAGTCGTGTGACGCTCGTGACGCATTTCCGTTTCATCTTTTCCATTTACACCCCGTCCGAAAAGAAGGTTCTCTTCAAAAAACTTAATCAGCTTATCCATTAGAAGAATCCTCAGATGTACAGAAAACTAAACGATTCCAAAAAGTCATCCTGATTTCTACCACAATATATACCAAATACCAAGTAACTATTGCTTATGTCTTTGACTTATTTGACGACCTCCGTGGCAGAGTGGTTCGTACGCCGGGTTTCATGGTGTCGCCGATTCGTGAGGTCCCGGGTTCGAATCCCGGTGTGGGCAGATGTTTGTGTGATGAATACGAGCATTTGTACTCCAGTCATGGATGTTTAATATGTATTTCTATATAAATATACTTATATATGTACAATATATTATTATGTATTCTATCCGTTACCCTAGCATCCCATAACACAAGCCTTACAGTGTTTACTTTGGGGCTAGGCTAATTGGTGTGAGTGTTGGAAATATTATTTATTGATATCTAGGGATGGAACGATACCATTTAGGTATCAATACTTTTACTCGATACTGTATCGGTCATAAAGTATCGATAAATTTTGACGATCAATATTACAATTACAAATTCAGTCACAGTTTTTATTTAACGAAAACAAAATAACGGCTCACGCCACACGATGAACCAATGACTGACTGTAAAATTGGAATAAATATAAATCATACACAAGGCTGCTAACTGAGCAGTAAAAAAGATGCCTACGCAAAACAAAAATTTCAACTAGACACCTTACCAAAGAGTAAATAATCTGCATAAGGGTTTTTTGATACTTCTCAGTGAGTGATGGACTGAGTACCGATACAAGTACTTACTTCACGATATTACTTGTTACTCAGTTCTAAAGTATCGATGCCAAAAGTACTTGGTATCAAAAGAAAAGTATCGAGTAGTTACTTGTATTTACTCGTATCGTTTCATCCCTACTTATATCTATCTGCACGGAATATAGGGCAACAGGCATATTTTATATTTTCTTTTCATAAAGGTTAGTATTACATAAATATTATAGTCTTACCAAATCAATTTCCAATTGATATAAGTTGGAAAACACAAATACGGCTGGTGCAGTTGGTATGGTTCCATATAAGAATGCATAAGTGGATAAAGAGGAGGTTTCACTATCATTAAACCCCGCATGAAAGGCACTCACACTTTCCCTCATCACCATTGGTAAAATTAATCTGTAACAGTAATAACAATAATTTTACTTGATGAAAATGTTTAACAAATGTGTCTCCAGGGGGATGGTAAAACAAGAAACCCAAATTGAATATCCTCCTTGCTTGATGTTCTCCTACTCCCAGTATCTGTCCGACACTGGGTTTGATGAACGGTTTAGGGTGTAGCGCAAGTCGCAAAGATCTCCTAATCAAGGCTACAGGATTATCCTTCACGCGGTTGCCGCCAGTTTTTGGTCAATTACCTTCTGTAATTGGCATACCTGAAACCTCTGGCCGTATTAAAAATCCCGCGGCGCCTATCCACAGTCGGGTCCACATAGCCTAGGGGAACTAAATACCCCCTAAAGACTGCAGTACACAGTCTTGGGCAGGAGTCCTGTACGTTACTTAACACTTTTGACCAGAGCCCCAACAACAATATAATGAGTGCTGATAAAAGAGCCTGTAGAAATACAGTAGGCCAACAAACAAACTACTACGGCGGAGACCTAAACCGAGGGGTTTTGTGGGCGGCAGATCGCTGCGTGTGTGGCTGGGACAAGGCAGCTTATGCTAAGCGGCCACCCCTGGGGGTCTACTCTCTTTCTCCGAAACGAACTTTCCCTGTCACAGGCGCGGACCACGCGGAAAAGAGCAGACAGGGCGCGTACATAATATCCCCTTCATACAAAATGTATACAAGCGTTGTCCACTATCGCGCCTTGTCTTTCTATGTTTTGCGTTGCGACGCTTCTATAAATGATGAATGAAAAGGATGCGGAGGAGACATAATATGATCACGTTTCTCAATTTCGTTCGCAGCTCAAGCGGCTATTCGCCTTCGCCGGAATACTCATATTCTTACTCTTCCTCTACAACATATTGTTCAATCCTAAATCCCCGCGCTATCTTAAGGAATGTTTTAATTTCCTTCACACTTCTAACACGTTATTTTTTAGGTCATCAGAGAATCTTACCCTCATGACTCCTGTACACAGTACAACTTTTTACATTCACTCATTTACAGTTCGAGCCGTTCAGCTGTGGAATTCTCTCCCAGTTTCGATACGAAGTGCGGAATCCATTCACTTTTTAAAGAATCTCGTGAAGTTTCACTATTTGTCTTTGTAATTATTTTTTTTTGTTTTATAATCTCTTTTGTATTTGTTTGTGTATGTATATGTATATATTAATAAATTACATTGAAATTTACGCCGCCGTCTCTCGCATTTCTTTCTAATCCTCTCTATCCAAAGGTTGTCTGGAAGAGATCACTTTTAGCGATAAGGCCGCCCATTGTAACACTTAATTTAAATGGCTCTCTCTGTATTTATTGTAATGTTTTCTGTGGTGTTCAATAAAGTGTTTTGTATTGTGTTGTATTGTATAATAACCGCGCCCTGACTGCGTCTTACGTTCTTTCTGTGTATGCCGCGCATTGAGGCTGCTAAAGAGAGGGGAGGGGGAATTTGGCCAATAGGCCACCAAAATGTGTACCCATTGGTACTTCGGTGAGTGTTCCAGGTTAGGATCTCATGTTAAATAATGGGATCCTAGGGACCATATTATGAACTCTTAACATCAGACAAGAACAACAGTTGTAGAAGGATCTCTCTCTGTGGCCTCTGAGGCCTCTCTTCTGTGCATATGTGGTGTCTCACTCTAGCAACAGAAATGGTCTTGCTCATAATACGGCCTCAAACCTATTCAATTTTAATTAAGATGTTTTCTAATCTCATATGCCTTTTGTATAATTCACTCACTGCAGACAATTTTTAAGAACAATCTAATCAACAGCAATACACAGGAGTTGCAAATTATTTTAAACAATTAATAGTCATTTATAAAAAAAAATGCAAATCATATATTTTTATTAGTATGGTTATCACATTGTTACTTACAGTTTCACCATTATCAGTACACAGGGGAGTACCAAAGCTGGCCCTCTTAATCTGTGTATCTGTCCCACCATCCTCAGTCCAAGTAAAAACAATGCAGATGCCGAGAAAGACTGGCCGAAAACCTAGAAAAATAGACAACACAAGGATTAAATAGAAAAAAAAAATAGGTATAAGCTAGGAATATTGTTCTACTGATAATATACTACATACGAGAGGAGGTCAAAAAGTTCGCGGAATAAGAGGGAAGGAGGTTGAAATTAAACACCAAACTATTTTTCCTTTTCAATATATTCTCCCTTAACCCTAATACATTTTTCAGATCTCTCAAATAACTTGTTTATGCCATCGAAAAAAAATGATTTGTCTTTGGTGTCAAAATAGGCCGAAATTGCGGACTTCACTTCTTCATCGTCGTCATTTTTTTTTCCACGCAGCTCTTTCTTCATTTTTGAAAATAAATAATAGTCACTGGGTGCCAAGTCTGGACTGTAGGGTGGGTGGTTCAATTGTTCGAAGCCGCAACGGTGAATGGCAGCCGTCGCAACATGACACGTGTGAACGGGTGTATTGTCGTGCAGAAGGAGCACACCTTTTGACAGCTTTCCTCTTCTTTTTTCCTTGATGGCTTCTTTCAATCTTTCTAGTAAAGAAGCGTAATACTGTCCCGTTATAGGCACACCACGTTCTTTATAATCGATCAGTAAAATAGCTTCTGTAACCCAAAAGACAGTCGCCATGATCTTGCCAGCCGATTGTGTCACTTTGAACTTCTTTGGAGGTGTGCCTTTTTTATGCCACTGCATCGACTCTTGCTTTGACTCGGGTTCATAGTGGTGAACCCAGGTTTCATCACCAGTAACGATTCGGGCCATAACTTCTTCCTTTCTCTCTCCACAGAGCTCCAAAAACTGGCAAGAACACTCGACACGCTCGCGTTTTTGAAGTGGCGTAAGCATTCTCGGAACCCATCTTGCACTGACTTTAGTCATCCCAAGATGATGATGTAATATTCAAAATACTTGTTTCGCATACTCCAATCATTGATGCAAACTGCTTCTTCTTCAACCGGGCATCTTCCAATACAAGTTTTTCTACTTTTTCGACGATTTCCTGTGTGGTGGCCTCAATTGGCCGTCCGGAGCGGGGGTCGTCTTCAATGGACTCTCTTCCTTGTTTGAAAAGACCATGCCGCTTGTAAACCATGGTTTTACCATGGGCAGAGTCCGGGTAAACCGCCAACAGCTCTTGAAAAATAATCTGAGCGGATTTTCCTTGCTTGGTAAGGAACTTAATAACGGCGCGGTGTTCAATTTTCTCCATACTGGCTGACTTCTTCCCGATTCAGTTGTTTACAGTTTGATAATTCAAAAGTTAATGACCCGATTAGGTTCTATACCAATATATACTCTTAATGCGGTGCTCAACTAGTGCCTACCTGGATGAGTAAACCTACCCCCACCAACCCCTCCATTCCGCGAACTTATTGACCTCCCCTCGTACATAAGTAAAGGTGAATATCTTTATACAATTAATATCTTTTCTCTAACAATAAATTTAATAAAACTAGTTTTTACAGGTTAATGCACGATACTTTATTTATTTATTGACGTTCTAAGAAACAAATAAATTTAATATTTCATTTGTTATGTTACAATATGATTTTATGAATGGAAAAAAAAATGATTATATATTGAATCATTGTAAGATAACAAAATACAATTGTAATGAGAGACAACATAATTCATCAGCTTAATTGTTAAAAGAAATAAAAAAATCTATGAAAATATCACATACCTCTAATAGTCCCTCAACATAAATTGTAATTCTATGTTTAAATACTACATTACCAATGATACCCAAGATTGTCATGACTAGCACTGGATTAAATAGGATCCCTTTGGCAATTTGCTTAATCAATTTAAGTTTTGAAATTTCTGGCTTCCTGCTTCCAGAAGAAGCTTCAACATTTTGACTATTCTCTTTCTGCTTGTTAATTTCCATCAAAACAAATGCAACAGGGTTTAAGATTGCTAATGATATAGGTGCCATCAAGTACAAGTACAATGCATATTCTGGATGAGTCTTTTCATATATAGCATTAACTGCAAACAAATTTATTAAAAATATCACTGAATGATGACAACTTTGACTTACAGAAAAGAACATTTTTATATATTCATGGATAACACCTGTTTGGCCCCTTAATTATTAAATAAATATGATAGAACATCTTTATACCCTATTAAACAATGCTTATTTAAAATTAAAATTGTTTTACTGTTGTTAAAATTATAGTACTAAAGTCAATATTTTCTGGTTGTTGCCATGTGGACCTGAATGTTACACTCATATATGTCATAATATTTTTGTTTGTTTTGATTATACTCATGAATTTATTAAATATGGTAGATGGTAAACAACCAATGCATTAACAAAGTACTTACTGATAGGATATCCAAGAGCGAAATCATTGCTTTGAGTGCAGAAAATTGCAAAGATACCAGCTCTTCCCAAGTTAGCAGGTTTTGAAACCAATACTGTTACCAATATAACAGCAAAGAATATAGTTCCTTTAGCAAGTAGAATTGCTAGTAAAAATGTCCAATTCACAGTTGTAAAATCAAGCCTTGCAAGAGAGAGAAATATGAGTGATGGTAAAGCGAATGTCCCAACAAAAGTAGCTATGCCTTTTGACTCTGTTGCTGTCACAACATGTAATCTCCCAGCTGTGTACCTGTGAGTACAGATTAATATTGTAATGATAAATAAAAAACAAATTATTGCATATGTGCTCACATCATTTTGGTGTACAAATAGTACTTACCCACACAAAATTATTGTAAAACATTGAAACAAAGCTGGGTATAAATTGTCTGCAGCAGCATCACCAATATTTATCGACACAGCTTCTTCCATTTTAGGTAGTAACCCAGCTGCCTTATAAATAACTATGAAATGCTAATTTGATTTCTTTCAGAACATCTAAAAAATATCTCAATTGATGAATAAAAATTTATAATCTTTGTTACTTTTGTATAATGTGCATAATTTAAGTCAGAAAATTGGATTCACTTGGAGAAAACTCGTGAGAAAACCAGTCAATATTGGAACTGGTCCAATTAAAATCTAAATTGTGTAAATTCATTTATGAAAGACCATTGAAATTTATTTATTTCTCCGATTGATTCACAGATTTTTTTTTTATTATTATAATGGCTCGCACGGTTTGTGCATTGGCCACGACAGGGTAAAAGGTAAGGAAACCAAAATAATGAAATAAGATTGTGAAACGGAATTTGGAAGGATTAGGATCAGTTAAGTACGTAAAATTAATTTGAAACGTAAGCGATATTTTTTTTAAATATATAAAATACATTATATTATTCTAATAAATTACTTATAATTTTATATTATGTTTAGTTAGGAATTCAGATAGCTTGTTATATATATTATAATTTTTATAATACAATAAGGAAGGAATAGAAGTAGGGAGAGGTACATTAAGGGATATTAATGAATCCATAAAAGAGGAGGAATCATTGAGGGGACACTCGAAGAAGATGTGATTTAAGTCCTCTGCTCCAGTACCACAAGCACAAATATTATCATTTACTATGCCCAGTTTAGCCAGGTGCGAAGAAGAACAGTTATGACCTAGGCGCATTCTTATGAGACTTGATGTGGCAAACTTACTTAAATGAATTTTAGAAAACCATGGTTTATGGGGAATACTTTGTTGAATTAATTTATAATGTTTACCTTTGATGCGACTACTAGTAACCCAATTTTCTTCCCAAGATATGCGTAGATGCACTTTAGGAAGTAAAAGAAGATCATTTACTAAATTTTTATAGGGAAAGACGTCACCACAATTCACTGATTCTTTAGCGAGTTTATCAGCTACTTCATTGCCAGTGATGTTATGATGGTCAGGTATCCACGCAAAGAGCACATTTAGATTCTTCAAAGTACAATTCAGTAATAATTTCCTACAATCGATCAAATAAGCATTAGAGGAAGAAGCTTTAAAAGGAAATTTTTCTATTGCCTGTAAAGTGCTTTTGGAATCGGAAAAAATAATTATCTTTTTGAGTTGTGCAAGCAAAATGTATTCTAATGATTTAAGGATTTCATAACATTCTCCTGTGTATACTGAGGTTTCTGGGGGTAATTTAATTTTTTGTGTTATTTTATACTGTTGGTGGTAAACACCGATTCCAACTATCCCAGTAGATGGATGTTTAGATGCGTCACAGTAAATGTAATGCCAGTCTGGCCATTCTGTATTAACAATACTCATTAGATTAATATTAGCATTTTTATCATTACGTAAAGAGTCTAGATAAATTACTTTGGGTGAAATGGTAAGAGCTTCATAATTAATAGAAGAAATAGGAAGATATTGTGATCGGTGGGTGGGTGCTAGCAGTGAAGTAAATTTAATGTAGCTGATTACCAAGCAAGGAAGCGACTTGTTATTCCAATATGCCGAATTATTAATTTTACGCAATAAATAGTGTAACTTTTTAAAAAGAGGGTGGTCAGAAAGTTGAAGAGCTCTAAATAGAAATTTATCACATAAAAATTGTCTCCTTAGTTTTAAAGGAGGCTCCACACATTCAACCTGGAATGCATTAATAGGGCTTGACTTCATGATGCCGGTTACAATGCGAAGAGCTTTAGACTGGATGCCATCTAACTTACTTAGTGCTAATGCACTACAGGGCTCCAGAAAGCAAGTTCCATAATCAAGGATACTATAATAAGGATTTAATAATAAGGATAATAGCATTATATATTAACTTTTGTGTTGATAGATGAGCTCCCCACCAAACACCAGATAGGCATCTTAAAATGTTTAATAATTTTTAACATCGAGCTGATACATAATAGCAATGTGATAAACCAGTTAATTTGGAATCTAGAATGATTCCTAGAAATTTAGCTTCATTACATACTGGAATTATGTCATTACCATAATGTACAGAAAATGATGGGGGTGATCGTATTCTTGTAAATAAGATGGCACAACTTTTAGAAACAGAAAGACTCAGTGAGTTATTATCTAACCATGATTTTAAGAGTGTTAACACATTACTTACAGATTGACTTAATTCAATAATAGATGATCCGGATACATAAAAAACTAAGTCATCCGCATATTGTAAAATGTTAGCTCTGCCTGCGATGTAAGACTCCAAATCATACGTATAGACATTGTACAGTAAAGGGCTCAAAACCGAACCTTGAGGTAGGCCTCTACATGTCAGCCTAGATTTAAAATGGCCATCTCCCATATCTATTTTTATCAATCTTTCCGAAAGAAGGTTAATAATAAAATCGATCAAAAACAAAGGAACTTCTAGTTTGTTTTTTAAGATTTGAATGTCCACATTGTCGTAAGCACCAGATATATCAATAAATGGAGCAAGAAGGGAATGATTATTTGAGAAGGCTAATCTGATATCAGTGGTGAAAATGCCTATGCTATCCATGGTGCTTTTACCTTTTCGAAAGCCATACTGGCTGGAAGCAAGAAGAGCTTTACTTTCTAAGAACCATTCCAATCTGTTCTTAACTAAGTGTTCTGCTATTTTAGAAAGAACTGAAGCCAGAGCTATAGGTCTATATGAATTTGGATCTGCAGGAGGTTTATTATGTTTCAATAAGGGAATTAATTCCTGAGTTTTCCATGATATAGGAATTTCGTTATTAACCATAATAGAGTTGATCACTTGTAATAAGTAAATAAGACTGTCGTCACTTAAGTGGGATATGAATGAATAGGGGATTCCATCACACCCAGGGGCAGAATCTTTTACATAGGACAAAACACATTTTAGTTCAGTTAGGCTAAAAGGAGAGTTGAGGCCGTGGTCATGAGATAAATTATCAATCGTGTTGTTAATAGATTTAAATAAAGGTGTATTATCCGGGGAAACAAAAGGGGGAGCTAATTTATCGAGGAATTTATCCGCCACTTCCTCATTTATGAACTTATGAGTTGGTTCTCTGATCGCCGATCTAAATCTTCGGATATTAGTCTAAATAGCAGATGGGGAAATATCAGGGGCCAAGGAAGAACAAAATGCCTTCCAACCATCCCATTTTTTTTTCTTCAGTAGTTTACGAGTTTCATTTATTATTTGCGAAAGTTTGTCAAAATTGTCATTTGTACTGTTATTATAATAATTTTTTTCAGCTACTTTTCTACGCTTTATTGCTGCTGTGCATTCAGAATCCCACCAAGGCGGTGAGGGAATATTTCTATTAGATTGTTTACGCAGAAAGGTCGAATCAGCAGCAAATCATTAGAACCAAAGCAAACGCATCTGCGCACATTGTTTGATCATTAAGCTGAACGGCGGGAAGAGATGATACTTTTTGCGCAACTAGCTCCCTAAACTTCTCCCAGCTGTCACTGTCATTGTTAATTCTATGTTTCAGTCTAGGTGAACGTTTAGGACGTGATTTTAAAACTGTTTTAGGGAATGATATTAATATGGGGAAGTGGTCACTGCCGAAAGTGGAGGAAAGCGTGCTCCATAAAAAGAAAGAAGCTAAATTGGGGGTGGAGATAGTTAAATCCGGGGCGCTTATGCCTTCATTAGGCTGTGTGCGTCTAGTCGGATCGCCAGAGTTTAAAATACAAAAGTTATTTTCATCTACAATATCTAAAATTCTAGCGCCGTAATAGCTTGAGCTAGAACTACCCCAAGATCGATGTTGAGCGTTAAAATCACTCATTATCAAAATATGATTAGGTAATCGCGATAGAATAGCTGCTACTTCATCATATATAGAGGATGACGGATGAGGAATGTATATTGACACAAAGCATTTATTTTGAACGGATGCAGCTATTATTGAGAAGTCAGTACTATGGTTAGTAATTGGAATATGCTGGAAAGGAACAGTGTCACTTATTAATAAAGCAACACCACCATAGCTATCAGTTCTATCTTCTCTGAAACAAAAATAATTAGAAATATTAAAGTTAGTGTTGGGTTGGAGCCATGTTTCTTGTAGTGCCATAATAATTGGTTTGTGTATGTTAATAATATACAGTAAGTCTGATTTTTTATTTCTTATGCTGCGGCAATTCCACTGAAGGATTGTGGACTGAAGATCCATTATTGGTATCATTATTATTAATTAAATTATTCATATTTAAAATAGCAGCGTTGGACGGTTCAAAATAATAATTTTGTTGAGACAGTGAGTTAATTAAAACAATAATTAAATCTTTTATTGACAAAGTAGATAAAGGATTATTTTTCAAGGTGCCAATTGATGGTAAAGGGATATCATAGTTCTGAGTTAATGCAGCATGGGCTACCTTATCATACCCTATGCTGACCTTTTTGGGTGGATTTGATTTCACAAAATATGTCTTTTTATAGGAAGATTTGTTTACATTATTATAATTTGTATGTTTTTGTTTTGTAGGAGACAATGGAGTTAATGTGGAAGATAACACTTCAGAATAGGATTTCATAACTGGAGGATGTAATTTAAATGCTTCAGCATATGAAACACAATTTTTCGCCATGGTCTCTTTTATAGATTTCTGTCTTGCAAACTCTGGGCATTTTCTATTTGTTGCATAGTGAGAACCAGAACACAAGCAACACAGAACATCATCATCATCAATATTACAGCTCTCACCTGCATGGCTATTGCCACACTTGAAACAGATCTACACTGATTCTTAATATGACCATAGCGACAACAATTAAAGCACTGTACAGTAGGGAAAATATACAAATCAACAGGTAAAGCATTGAAGCAAAGAAAAACTCTTTTAGGTAAAACCTGGCCATCAAAAGTAAGCACCACAGTCTCCACTGGAGAGAATGTTGCTTTGCCGTCTACAATATGTTTCCTATTTATTCTCCTAACTTTGAGTATGTTTCCACACCCAAAAGGAACAGTAATATTTTCCATTATTTCTGCTTCAGACCAGTCAGTGGGAATACCTCTTACAACTCCCATACGAGTAATATTAAAACTAGGAATAAATGCTTTGTAGTTATGCTGTTTCAAAGCTTGATTGTCAATGAAAGCATTTGCATCTTCAAAATGAGTAAATGACAATAGTAACCGATTCCTTCCAATTTTTTTAAGGCTTCCATTGACAATATTTTTAATGTTGTTCTTTTTGAGGAAATGGCCAAACGAAATGGGGTGAATAGAGGTAT